GATCATGTTCATCATCATCATCCCGATCGGTTTCATGGACTGGAGAGCCAATATACATTGTCCACCCTGACACACTGCTGCTATGTTCTTCTTTACAGCCAACGATTTTGGAAGGCTCCATCAAAGTAAGTACCTATAGATTATCTGGATAGAAATGAAACTTGATGAATATTGTTTCCACTACAACCTGGAAAATGTGTAATTTTCATTACCTGGGGTTTGGAGTTGGACTTGTATCATTGTCTCTCTGAGTCTTGGCCCTTAATCAACCACATGCAGCATTCCACACACCGGACAAAGAACACATCTATCGCAAAACACTCGTACAACCCAGCCTCATTATTGTTTTGGCAGAGTAAAACTTAGCACCTCGAAATTATATCTCCTGCGTTTTTGTTTTTTGTTTTTAAGCACTAGAAGACAAGGTTTTGGAGATTAAAAAGGCAAACCCATGTCATAAATATGGATAAAATTTGAGTCTAAGAACTGAGGATGAAACTCATTTTGGTCGTTTTGACCTTTTACCTTTACTTGTTTGTTTCTCTTATAAATAAAGAGCAGCTTTTAAGGTGGAAAATCAGAAGAGCCCCACTCAACAAACAAGATGAAATACAACACCTACTTTCCTAGATGGGCTAGAAATGCCTCTTCACTATGCTCTTTAATTTTCATAGTCAATTCTGTGTATAGATATCAAGAAAAAGCAGCCTTTTCCAGTACAAGTTGATAGTAACCCAACTGGGATTTGGCATTTTGCACCAGGATTAATTTAATGGAAGGAGTTTGGTGAAAGGTCATTTTACTTCTGCTCTCACACTCCCTCTATAAAGCTGGCTTGTATTTTTTGTTTCAGTTGGGGAAGATCATATCTTTAACAATAACTTTCTCAGTTGGTATTATTAGTTGCAGAAAAATCAAACATTAACAGTTACATTTTTGGACATCTGTTATTATAAACTCACCTAATTCATGATTGGATGTGTGAGTCGAAGAGATCAAGAACATTTGGTAGGCATAGGCTCTCCTTGTGGTTGCCCACTTCTTTTTCTTCTGACTTATTATCTGTTTAGGTTAATCAAGTGATTTCCTTTTAGAGAGTGTATCTGGACTCACTTTGTCTTGGTTAAGGGCTCCATCTACATATATTTATATTATGAAAACTCTTTAACAAATGGACAGACTTTTTTTTCATCATTTTCTTGTTTTTTAATCACTTTTAAAGTTGTTTACCAACCCATATGAGACAACACTAAACTGCTCAGCGATGTTTCCTTCTGTTGTTATCTGATTATAGCATGTGCAAAATTTAAATATGAACAGCTTCTAATTGCCATAACATTTAGAACAAATTTGCTCTTATTTTTGGACCCCAGGAAACAGGCTGCAAAGACTTTCCCAATCAAAATTTGCGGATAATCCCTATTAAATCAAATTAATTATGTCATGTTTAAGATAATTAACTTGTCTTTTGACATAAAGTTAAGCAATTCTAAACATAATCACATGATATGTTTGGAGTTGAGATAAAATGACAAGTGGTGGCAGAAACGTTTGATAAAAATTTATTTCCTGATGTGATTCATCTTATATAAAAATTGCAAGTACTGGCCACGATATATCATTTCACTGGAAAATAATAAAAACCTTCAGCTTCTGTTTGATTGATAGATTTTGACATTGGCATTAATTATTTTGTTGGTTGCTTAAAATTGAAATGCACATGAAAACCAAAAAGGATGGCGTGGTGGGTCTGAAAGCATATATTTTATTATTTTCAAGAACTACGTGTATGGTGGTCATAGTTCCATCACTGTCACTTGAATTATATATCCAAAAATATCCTGGAAATTAATAATCTGCAACCTCTTTGATGTTGGCTATATTAAGAGGCCAACCCTGTTATAAACTAGTTTTTAATCTTTACTTTCTTTTACAGCTGAATACTATAATGGAATGTTAGAGAGTATTAAATTAAGTGTAATGCATCGTCACTTTCGGATGTGGCCTTTGTTGTATTTTATATGTCTTATAAGAATTGTTTCAGCAGCAAAAGAGGTGCTTTCAACTTGTACTATAACAGTATTTGTTTATTAATCTGGATAAGTTATGGTGTTGATACTTAGATTTTGATGCACTTGCAGCCACCAAAACCTCATATCTGCTCCTCTTTGCTTACAGTAGACCAAAATCCAAAAATCTTATTTCTTCTTCAGCTACATTGTTCAGGTTTTGGTGTTTTCCTAAACTTCAATTTACTCCGATTAACTTGTTAAACCAGTACTTACTGCAACACTATTTTATTATTATTTTGACCAAGAAACTGGATATGCATATAAGGATTGATTTGATGAATGGACCTTTTTTTCTCATATTTATGGATCTGCCCATGGTGTCAGCCCAGTTAAAGGTGTTGGTTTGCTGATAACCTTTAATGAACTTCCAAGTGATTCAACAGTCAAACATGTTTACTGGAATTTCAAGTAGATCAAATTCAGCTATATCCATATGATTAGGGAAACAATAAGATTCTTATAATGTACATAAACAAGAAGATTGCTAGTCTGCAACATGAACAAGACACCAATCAATTAAATCTCGTAACGCTTTAGGTACAAAGTGTGACATGTAAGAACCTGGAGGCCTGGTTGTGCTTTGGCCAAATTGCTGCTCCCACTACTGGGTGGTCAAATGGTAAAAGCAAGGCCGGCCCAAGGGATAGAGCTCCCAAATAAATAGGGTCAGAAATGGCCTAAATTTTTTATAAACTTTTTTAAATATATTACAAAATAAAGGTGGTGTAGACCGGCCCAATGGCCCCCCAAAAAAAAATAAATAAATAAAAAGCCTAAAATGCCCATATTTATTATAAATAAAAAAGCAATTTCTTTGGTAATATATGAGATTGAAAATTTTGAATTTCTATTGGGTATGATTATTTAGTATGAAATACTATTTGTTATTAATATGGTTAGTAAATATTTACAATCTAAAAATATTTACATTGTTATTGCAATATATTAGTTGAAAAGTTTTGTTTTATTTTTTGAAAAAGTTAGAGAAAATGGGTTTATATCTTCTATGATTTCTGCTAAAGAGATTGCAGAACAAATGAATATAAACTAAAATTTTGTAAAAAACGTATAATAAAGAGAAAAAAAACAATTTGATGAGAATGAAAACGAAGAGATGAAATTGTCAGCTGAAGAATCTTTTAGAATAAATTATTTCACATATTTAATTGATCATGTCATTTCCTCACTTCAAAGTAGGTTTGAATAATTTTAAATAGATAGTGATAATTTTGGTTTCCTTTATAATATAGAAAAGTTAAAATTGTTTGATGATGATAATTTAAAGAAAAATTGTTTAAATCTTGAAAATCTTTTAAAAACATGACATGTTCTCTGATATTGATGGTTTAAATTTTTATTCACAATTAAAAGCTTTAAAAGAAATTATAAACATGGAAATTAAAATACCACTTGAAATGCTAGATTTTATAATAATAATAATAATAATAATAATAAAAAAGTGAATTCTTTTCCAAATGCATGGATAGCTTATAGAATACTATTAACTATTCATGTTATTGTAGCTTCAGTAGAAAGAAGTTTTTCAAAAATAAAGTTAATAAGATCTTATTTGCGTTCAACAATGTTACAAGAAAGATTAGGTAATTTAACTATATCATCAATTGAAAAATAATTTAACTATATCATCAATTGAAAAAGATTTGGTTTCTAAACTTGAATACAAAAATTTAATTAGTAATTTTACATCTCAAAAGGCAAGAATAATAAATATGAGATAATTTTTTTAATATATGTTTATATTATTAGAATGTCGCGCCCCCCCCAAGTAATTATTCCCTAAAGTTACAAATGTTCTTGAGACGATGCTAGGTAAAAGAGCAAAAAGAAGTTTCATAAGATCTTGAGTTCGGGCCCTCATAGGCGCTAATAGAGGTGGCCATTGAGAGGTTTACCTCAGTGGCGGATCCAAAAAAAAATTTTAGGGTGGGTCAAAATAAAAAATAATTACATATTAATATTTTTGTTAGGGTAGGCCAAAATCCAAAACTTATATATATTAATATTTAAAAAATAATTGAGAGTGGGCCATGGCCCACCCAAAAATGAGCTGGATCCGCCCCTGGTTTACCTGATCATCAGTCGCAAGATTTCGAGATATTAGTTAAGATGCGTGCATGCTGACTTAGACACCCTCAATCAAAAAAAAAAAAAAAACTCAATTTGTTAAAGTGAGTGATGGGATGTTAATTATGATGTCTAGGCAAAATTTTACTTTTTTAAGATTGCAAGTATGAAGTATGTGCACAAATCTTGGCAAGGCTATTAAATTTTTTTTATTATTATTATTTTTAATCATTGAAGGTGATCGGGTCAACTTATATGCACCTCAATTAATCATTCAAAGTCCTAAAAGTCTGACTAGGTAATCCTTCAATGACCACCCCTATTAGGGCTTGAGTGACTGAAACTCAGGAACTTAAAGAACTTCTTTTTGTTCTTTTACCATCAACTACACGATGATGGTTCAAAGCTACTAAAATTAGGACAGAGAAAAGCCACCATCTACTACAACTCAAAAGAAAATGAGGTCCAGTTTCCTGAGTAAAAGTAACTCTTTTATTTGATGGCAACAAGCTCCATTTGTACCTTGTAATTAATTGATATCTATTTCACTTGAGTTTGTTTTACATTTACATTTATAATTCACAACAATTTCAATCCATATTTTGTATGAAACCAGGGATAGGAACTTACCATTTCACTTAGGAACATGTTTACTCTTTTTATAATAATAATCAAGCGCCTAGCCGGCCAGCTCATGGCCGGGGCAATCCTACATGCAAGCATGGGCTCAGCACAGTCTGGATTCACGTGGAACTTGAAATACTCAACTCACGAACTCACAAGAGGGGTAATTTCGTCAAATTGATAATAAAATAAACAAAACCTCACCAATCAAAAAGTACGGTTGGATGGACTCCATCATCTGATCCAAAAAAGCTCCCTTTTTTTGTTTTCTGAGAATCTAATGAAAGTCTAATTTCTTTCTTCATTACAAACTCACAGAGAGTCCACAATAAAGTCTCTTTGCCTGGACTTTTAGTACTCCTGATCTTCCTAATTTCTCTCTGTTTGTTTCTCCTGAAAATCCTGAAACAATATCTCTAATGGGTTTGATTGAATTTATCGAATCAATCAAATCCATTGATTGGGAGCAGGAATCGTACCCAGCTTATGAGGATTTTGCTCTTCTTCCTCTTTTCTTTATTTTCTTTCCCTCTGTTCGATTTCTTCTCGAAAGATTTGTATTTGAGGTACTGGTTTTCTTTTCTCTGATTCTTTTATTATAATGCTTGTGTATTTTTCATTAGTGTTTAACTTAAGCTTATTGGATAATTGGTGAAGTTGTTTATTGAGGTATTTGATTGACCCAGATAGGGATTTAAGTTTTATTTGATGGGTTTGTGTTTTCTCGAATACTTTTAGTAGGTTTTGTTTCGGTTTGATGTAGCATTACTTGATTTCAATCAGGAGTTTCTTCACTTGTATTTTCATCTCTTGCCTTGTTAACTGCTGTAAACACTAAGATCTAATGTTAGAAGTTAAATCATGAGACTTGTAATGTTTCAAATATTTGCTCTAATTAGTTCAAAGATGGTGACTTTAATTCACACTTGTACTGAAATTGACAATGTGATATAAATCTTTCTTATTATGCATCTTCCAATTGGAACATATCCACAATGTTTATATAGCTCTACATTGGTGCTTACACCTTCTTTGGTTTTCATTTAAAAAATTCAGATAATTTTTCTGGAAGTGACTTTTGTTGTTTCACCGAGTGTATTGTAATTGCTTAAGTTAGGGCTCGTAGATGATATAAAGGATCACAATTAAACTTGAGATAAAATTTCTAGCTAGCTTAGTTCTTTAGGGCAGCTTTGACTGAGCTTCGGTCATTGGATCTTGATTTAATTTTCTCTGTATTGAGTAGGAAGTGTTGAGTGGATGAACTTGAACATTTTTCTATAGTTGCTTGGTGGTTTGATATTTGACCAAAGAATTGAAAATTGAGTGCATATTATTTGACGGCCAGGAACTGGAATATTTTTGCTCGTTGTTGTCATGGTATGTGATAAAAGTTGCTTAAGCTTGATCCCAGGGTTGTTGCTTGAGCCTATGTTCCAAAAAAATTGAACTTTATGGGATTTCCTAATTTTCACCTTTTATGAATAATGATTTTAAGTGCTGAGATGCTTGAAAAACCAGGAATAGTAGTATGGGGTACGCATGTCAAAATCAATTAGATTATAGTGCAGGTTAAGTGTAAGTAGAGCTTTTTATTGCTATAAACTTGCAGCCAGAGGCATAACTTTGAGGTGTTAATAATATTCCCTAGTTAGTTTTACGCATGTTGAGGTATTAGTTCAAATGGAGGCTTTTCTATCTTACATACTTCCTAGGAAACTTATGTAGGATAACTACCAAGACCTAGATTAGAATATAGAATAATGATTGGCTTCTTGCAATTTATGAAACTGAATATAAGAGCAATTTTTCTAACACCAAGTAGAAGGATAGACCTTTGCTTACTTTACTCCTCCGCCCCCACTCCCATTCTATTGCTGTCCTATCTGACATGTTGACATGTGGTTTGGATATCTAAGATGAGGCTGAAGTTTTATGGCATATCTAATAATTGTAGGTTGTTTATTAGATTCGGGCATTTATGTACAAGTTTTAGATGATAATATGTCATAGTTAATTTTATATATCATTATCCATCCACATGATGTGTGGCATTTTTGTTGTTCTATCATCTCTTAGTTTGCTGCTGTATTTCAATATTGAGAAATAAAAGGCCAAAGTAGCATGTCAAGTCTCTTGAACTATATATGCAATTTGAGAAAACCATATCAAGTGTATACATGAGCAGCCACTGAATATGAATTATTTTAATTGCTTTCATTTTGAACTTTCTCTTTATTTTTTCTTCTCAGCAACCGGATGATGTATGCTGTTATAACTAAGAAAAGAAAGTTTGAATGTGACTTCTTCTTTCTTGTAGACTTTGTCCCTCTTTTATATGTTCAATTCCTTTCCTCTAACCGTTTTGCTTCTAAGAACTTATTATGTTTGCATGAAATTTATATACGTGTCACAGACAGTGGGGAGACGATTAATTTTTGGAAATGAGCGCCAGATGCTGGAGGTTGAGGTAAAAGAAAGAGGGAAAAGAATTAGAAAATTTAAAGAGTCAGCCTGGAAATGCGTGTATTTTCTTTCAGCAGAAGTTCTGGCTCTGTCTGTAACTTATGATGAACCTTGGTTTAAGAATACTAGATACTTTTGGGTGGGGCCAGGAGATCAAGTGTGGCCGGACCAAAAAACTAAGTAAGTTTTAAATTATGTATCTTAGCTCAGTTAATATATTGGCTTAAATCTATCCTTGTGGATTAACATTTTGAAGAAATTTTAAGATATCTGCATTATAACTCAATTTGGAATTGTTGTATCTTTTGCAGGTTGAAATTGAAGGGATTATATATGTATGCTGCTGGATTTTACTCATACTCAATATTTGCTCTGATGTTCTGGGAAACAAGGCGTTCTGATTTTGGGGTGTCCATGAGTCATCATGTTGCAACTGTCATTCTCATTGTGCTGTCATATATATTTAGGTCTGCTCTTTCAAATTCTGTAGCAGCCTTCTGTTGCTCCCTTTATTAGATTTCAGAGGAAGTATGGTTGGTACTAACATAATGTTTGGTGTAGAGCCTTATTTGAAAACCGAAGTGTGTTTGCCTATATTATGAAGCTTATTCAGAAAAAAAGGATCTCCTTTGCATTCAAGTATACACATCTGGCTATTATACTTACAGATCAATATATTAACATGTCTGTCTCTTGCAGATTTGCTCGCGTTGGTGCAATTGTTTTGGCGCTTCATGATGCCAGTGATGTGTTTTTGGAGATTGGGAAGATGTCGAAATACAGTGGCGCTGAAGGAGTTGCTAGTTTTGCATTTATTCTTTTTGTTTTGTCTTGGATCCTATTGCGGCTCATATATTACCCTTTCTGGATCCTTTGGAGTACAAGGTTTGCAAAGTTGTTGCTTAATTCATATTTGCCTTCATTATTTTGTTTGGTTTAACTTTGTGTTGGTCAAAGTATATCAAAATTACAATTTGATATTGCATTATGAGTTCTATTGCTTTACTAGAATAATCTAATTCAGATTGTACCCTTGAAAGAATTCTCTTGTTTTTATTTTTACTTTTTGGTACAAGCATACTAGTGGAAGCTTTTTTTGGCCATTGCTGTACAGATGAAGGAGATTTCATTAGAAGTTATTGTTTTGGAAATTTATTAATATATGCTGGGAAGACTGCAAATATCTGTGAGGATGATGAATTTATATCTTCATTTCCTTGCACCTAAAGAGAATAATAGTTTTGCTCCAGTGACTACTTGTTAAACTGAATTAAGTATGGAATTAAAGTAACATGATTAGATTTATTTTAACGTATTTTCTTTACTTATCCTTTCCTTTCCATTATCCACTATGACAGTTATGAAGTTATCCTGACCTTGGACAAGGAAAAGCACCCAGTGGATGGACCAATCTATTATTATGTGTTCAACACTCTTCTATTTTGCTTGCTTGTTCTTCACATTTATTGGTGGGTCTTGATATACCGGATGCTTGTCAAACAAATCCAAGCTAGAGGCCGAGTTAGTGAAGATGTTCGTTCAGGTGAAGAATACATGTTCATTTAAATGGTTTTGTTTGTTTGTGGTGAATGCATAGTGTAGCATAAAAATAAGTTTTCGAAACAAATTTAAGCAATATCAACTACCATCATCTATGTTGATAATGGATGAAGCATGGTAGGATTATCAATAATTTGTTCTGGCATCTAGTGATGTGCTGATATTTTCATGCATGACCCGTTATCTCCTTAATGAAGCCTCTACATCTCATTTCTGGTATTTAATTTTTTCCTTTTTCACCCCTTGTATATTTCTTCGTGCAGACTCAGAAAGTGAAGACGAGCATGAAGATTAATCAGGAAGCCAAATAATTACAGCCATTGCGTTACTCCTGTAAGGTAACTTATTATCTCATGTGATCATTTTGAATACTATATACTTCTATGTGATCATTTTGAATACTATATAAGACACCAAATAGTTCATTGTGTTTACATTTACTTATTGCACAATGAAAATTACGACCTGAATGCTGTGAATTCTTACACTAATTGGTAAAGAGCAAAATACAGCACAGTAACAAACATTTTGAAGAAGGAGTTAGATATATAGTTCCAAATTCCCAGTTTGTTCTGTTGTAATGCATTATTGCTCCTTGATGGAACTGAAAAGATACTATTCTGCCATGTGTCCTGCAGGTGTGGAGTAGTCATGAATTATACGTCTGATTTGTTCTTTAATGAAAATGAAACACATACGATCTCTGGAATTCCTTTGTAATGAAGGGATTGTATACTGATTTTTAAGATGAAGCGACAGACAATGGTAGCAATTGATGAGGTGTACAATTCTTTATTTGAGATTTTGGATGCGAAGCACCAGCTTAGATTTGTACTAACCCACCAAAGATTTGTTGTGAGAGAAATTTAAACTGTAATATAATTGATCTTTAATACTTGAGCCTGCTGCCTGTTGTGAGGGTTTGTTAATGCACTCAATTCTTTTTCTAACCTACCAAGGAACTTTGGTTTAGATCAAAGACTGTTTTACTTCAACTTCATCATCACTTCAAAAGTGTCCATGGGTGAACAGATATTGGTCAATGAAATTTTACTGAGTTCTGTTCTGTCCCGTCTTTTAAAGTATTTTCTTTTCTTAGTACTCTATTGCTTGTTAAAGGGGAAACATGGTTATTTGTTCTCGGGTTATCAGAAGAAAGGGGAACCCTTTGAATTGGATGTAAAGTTTATAATTTTGCTTACTGAGGGGTATGTATTAGCATTAAAGTCTGTTTGATCTGCACAAAAGTATGTATAACTAGAAAGCCTGTGAAAATTTTCACAGTTGTACATGTTTTTCACAAATGGAGGGATTTGTAATGACAAAAAGCAAATTGAAAGATTGCATAGAAGCTTGAATCTCCGATCCATGTAGATGTCATCAGTATTCTTCAGTTTGAGTTGGTTCCGAAAAAGTAATAATAAAAGATATTGACAACTAGTTTAATTTTGCTGCTATCCTGTGTTAAGTTAGGAAACTGTGATTGAACTCAATTGACAAGATATTCAGCTTTTTTTTTTTTTTTTTTTAACTTATGATAATATACATATACCTCTAAAATTATAATACAAATTACAAGTAGGGGTGCTCAAAAAAATGCAAAAACAGAACTGAAGCAATAGCCGAACCAGTTTTTTGGTAATCTAGAAAACTAGTTTGATTTTAGTTCAGTTATCGGTTTACGGGATTATGGGAACCAGTAAACCAAAAACAATTTTATAAACCGATTTATTATAAAAATAATAAAATATAAAATTAAAATAATAAAAATCAAAATCAAAATATATAAACCAAATTATTATAAAAATAATAAATAAAAACAATAAAATCGGTTTATTATAAAAGTAATAAAATATAAAACTGGTTTAAATTAGGGAAAAATCAAAATAAAAAATAAGTTAAAGGAAAACCAATTAACAAAAAAACCAGTTTTCCTCTTAACCGGCTCGGTTTCGGTTTAGAAAAATTCTTAAACCAAAAAACTAGTTCGGTTCAAAAAATTGGTTAAGCGATTATGAACACCCCTAATTACAAGCATAAAATTTGGATTCATAATGTTATTTAATAAAATTTGGGGTCAGAAAGTTTGGTTTACAGCCTCTAAACTACGTCGTTTTTTGTTCAAGTTATTTTTGAAACAAAAAGTTTCTTCCATGCACCTGTGTTCTTAATAAATCCCCATTTAACTTGTTGGCCAAGACGAAGAAGCCCAACCTTGGATCACATCGCAGAAACAACACTCAGTTTGTAAGTTCACTTTTCTTTTTTAATTTTATTAATTGAATTCATCCGTCTTTACTGATTGTTCTTCTTCATCAGGTATTCTTCTCTCGTTTCTTATAATTTCTACTCATTTTCTATGTTTAGTTAACTTCGCTTTCTTTAAATATATTTCGTCCTCCCAACTTATTGACCTTCTGTGAATATTTTTTTTTTTTTTTTTTTTTTTTTTAGGCTTTTTAACTGCCAACATTATATATTTATATGTGAAATTTTCTGTTTCTAATCACTGGAAAATTTGAACTGTGAAACCTTCTATCGTTTTTTAATTCGGGATGTTAAAAAAAATGCAAAAACCGAACCGAAGCAATAACTGAACCGGTTTTTTGATAATCTAGAAAACTAGTTCAATTTTGGTTCAAAGAAATATAAAAACCGATTTTTCGGTTCAGTTACCGGCTTACGGGATTATGGGAACCGGTTAACCAAAATCAGTTTATAAACCGGTTTATTATAAAAATAATAAAATATAAAATTAAAATAATCAAAATAAAAATATATAAACCAATTTATTATAAAAATAATAAATTATAAAATAAAAACAATAAAACCGGTTTATTATAAAAATAATAAAATATAAAACCGGTTTAAATTAGGGAAAAATCAAAATAAAAAATAAGTTAAAGGGAAAACCAATTAACCAAAAAACCGGTTTTCCCCTTAACCGGTTTGGTTTCGGTTCAAGAAAATTCTTGAACCGAAAAACCAGTTCGATTCAGAAAATCTGTTATGAACACCCCTAATTACAAGCCTAGTTAGTAAATACGTGTTTTATATGTGAATTATACGGCCAGCCATATAATTATTGGAATATCGGTATAATTAGCGAATTATTGCAAAAAAAAAAAGTGTTTGAAACGACGTCGTTTTAGTGGGGGAAGAAGAAATCAGTGGGTAAGGGAAGAGATTAGAAAAGGGGTTTTAAATTGAATTAATGATATTAAAATAATTTAAAATTTTCTAAAAAATCCCCTAGGTTTGCTAATTTAACTAAACACCCAAATATATAAAAACTTTATAAAATAACAAAAACACTCCCACCACCAGCAGTGCCAGATTCTAGCTATCATCGTCGGAATCTGACTGAAAAATTGCGTTACGACACAGACTAGTCGGATCTATGTCGTAACGCATCGATATGGCCTTTTCCGTCCAGATCCATAACGCGTTGATATGAAATTTTCGTCCAGATTCACCACGGATCTGGCTGAAAAAGGCCAGATGTGGCCGTCGACGGCCGCAAAAGTCCATCTTTGGCCGTTAGATACGGCCAAAGATGTGATCATCGTTGTCGATCGATAACGGCCAGATCGGTGAATTACCGGCCTTTTCTGGTCGTGGTGTAGGCTGTTGTAACAGATTCTGGCTACCACCGACGGTGGTTGCCGGAATCTGGCAAGTATGGGTTTGGGGGTGTTTTTGTTACTTTTTAAACTTTTTTCTGGGGGTATTTAATGAAATTAATAAACTTAAGGGGTCTAAAATTTATTAAAAAAATACAATAATATTTCTCAAATAATGTGCCAAAACAATATTTGGGGAATATGATTGGGAATATGGATAATAAATATGGAACCAAACGCACCCCTTATTTCTTACTGTTACAGTTAAAGGAAATATTTTCATGAAAATATGTTTTTATTAGATATTAATCTGAAATTAAAATTGAATATATATATATATATATAAGTAACCAAACATCATTTGTGATGCCTTGCTTGATATAACTTCATTTTTTAAAGTTATAATACATTAATGTATTAATTAATATGATTAATTATAATTGCATTATACTTAAATTTATTGGATTTTATGATTTCTTTATTTAACTTTCTTACACAACCTAGTAATCCAATAGTCTTAACTCTTATTAAATCAAAATAAATAAATAAATAATAAACAATTAAAGTCATATATTATAGGTATAAAATAATTGTTAGACTATTGTAACATTAATCTTTTATATAGATTTGTGAGACAAAATTTTAGTTCTTTATTTAATATAATTTAATGGATTAATGGAAAGTTAAAATTGGTTGCATTTAATATCAAACTTATCAAGTTTTAAATTAGTAAAGAATCATGACTAAATATTGTGTTTAAGTCTGGTGACTATAATTTAAATATCAGTTATATATTGTATATTTGTGTTATTGGTTAATTGAATACTTTGCATTTGAAATGCTATATTGATTTTAACCAAGTAATCTATAAAAGTATTAAAACTAATGTTGATATTGCCGTATTTTTCAAAATGTATTATTGACAATGCACCTTATTAAACCCGTATATACCCGTATCATATTTTTTCCGTATCCAAATTTTATGGCCGAATTTTTATAAACGAATTTTTCACCGTTTTTTGTATTATACCTATAAAATTCTTGTACCCTTTTTTACCCTACCCGTATTGACTAACTAGGATTACAAGTATAAAATTTGGATTCATAATGTTATTTCATAAAATTTGGGGTCAGAAAATTTGGTTTACAGCCTCTAAACTACGTCGTTTTTTGTTCTAGTTATTTTGTAGACAAAAAGTTTCTTCCATGTACCTCTGTTCTTAATAAATCCCCATTTAACTTGTTGGCCAAGACGAAGAAGCCCAACCTTGGATCACATCGCATAAACAACACTCAGTTTGTAAGTTCACTTTTCTTTTGTAATTTTATTAATTGAATTCATCCGTCTTTACTGATTGTTCTTCTTCATCAGGTATTCTTCTCTCGTTTCTTATAATTTCTACTCATTTTCTATGTTTAGTTAACTTCGCTTTCTTCAAATATATTTCGTCCTCCCAACTTATTGACTTTCTGTGAATATTTTTTTTTTTTTTTTTTTTTTTTTTAGGCTTTTTAACTGCCAACATTATATATTTATATGTGAAATTTTCTGTTTCTAATCACTGGAAAATTTGAACTGTGAAACCTGCTCTCTGTGAAGATTTAGAGGTTGATATTTTTTATTACCAATTAAAATTATGCTATCACCCACTCAATTATGTATTCATTTTCGCTTTCAAGAGGAGATGACCTCCTAAGTTGGAAGGCGTGAGCCAGTGGGTATTCCAGTTGTGAGTACCTTCAAGAACAAATCGGGTTGTTCTTTTGATATTTAATAGGAACTTAGTTCTTTTCCTCTCGCTCTTTTTTTTTTTTTTATATCATGTTATAAGTTTATGGTACGTGGCTGCATTGAACTATTTATCTTTCAAACTACATGCTTTCTCTTGGAAAATGATGATCGCTTATTGATTACTTTGTTGTTTTTGTAGTTTAAATATTCTGTGTAGCTTACTCTGTGAGCATTAAAGGTCAAAACTCAGAAATGAAGTATCAAAAAGAACTCATTGGTTACTGGTTATAGTCCCATAAACACATTCAATATAGTGAATTGAAACTAAGATAGCTTTTTTTTATTAACCAAATACTAGAGAACCTTTTTTTTTTATTTTTTCACTGAAGGTTCATGAGACTTAATGAGTTTTCAGATTATTTACTTGTATTTTTTTTTTTTTTTTTTTAAATTGTTGAATTGGAGATTGTTTCATCTTTTCTCTACTCAAATTTTCTCCTTGAGAGGTGTTGATGTGTATATTCAGACAACATTCCTTAAGCTTATCCTAGTCATGTACATCAGTGACTAAAGAGATGAAAAAATTAACTTACCCTTACATTGCACAGGAGTACGTGCTCTGTAATGAAGGGACAATTTTGCTACAGCTTATCTGAATTAGAGAGACTTTTAAAATATAAATACAGAAGAAATTGAAGAATGTAATTTGCCCATGTACCACACGGGCACATGACCAGTGTGTATTCCATATGGATGAAGAAACACTTCTACCGGCCATGAATGAATCTTCCATTTGTTGCTGTGTGGCTGTGTTTGCACAGAGAATTATGTAGGAAACAAAACAAGAGAACAATAGCTGAACAAATTGTTTGGTTTGAACCTGGTGCTAGTTTAGGAACCAAGTTGTAATCTGTCATTGATTTGAATAGTTGATTTAATAAGAATCTTGATGCTGTTTTTAAATTGACTTTGTGGAAACGGTTATCTATACTAATCACCATTGTCTTCAGGGGTCGAATTTTTTGAGATATTATACTGATAACATATATACATTTGTATATTGATAGGTTGCTTAATTGGATTAAAGGATAGAAAATGGAAGATGTGCTGACAGAGATTCCTCCACCTTCAAGGTTCTTTCAGGAAGATCTCTACAACTTTGCTCCTCCATCACCACCTCTTCCATCTCCCTTCATCCTGTTCTCTAATCCTAAGCCTAATATACCTCTTCGCCCCTCTCTCGTCATCATTGCCCTATCTTCTCCATCCCTCTTCCTCGTCAATCATATATCCTCTAAAACCCTTATCGGAAGTCTAATCCTCCCTGAGATTCCCTTCTCTGGAAACTCTATTGAACCGTCCCTTGGAGACAAATCATGCAATATTTATGCCATCAATGACACAGATGATAGTATTCTTTTTATACCTGTTCAGTGCCCAGTTGCTGCAGAGAGATCTCACATTGTTGCAAAGTTGTTGATTGGTGAACAAATTGTTCCTGAAAGGGTCCTGATTTTGGATTCAGTTCAGACCCGGAACTTTAGGGGTAAACTCTCACTGGATGAGACCTGTGCTTTCAAGCTGGAGACTTCATCAGAAAGAAAAGGAGGCTCTTCATTGCTAAAAGATGTAGACTATTTCCCATCAGGAAGTATGGTTGATGGTTTTGCCGCTGCTTTGTTGGGTAGATGTCAATTGAAGAAGATCAAGGGAACTCTGTGTGTCTCATGGCCTGAATATGGTGGTTCTGTGGTGTCACTGCTCAAATCTCTACTGCATAAGAATGTGCTGACTGGTGTGGACTTTAGCTTAACTGATGGTGAGGATAGCTATTCGAGGTTCAACCAGATTAAGAATCATCCTTTTGATTCTGAACTATATACCTGATGTACTAGGTTTAAGGTGCTTTTTGGATTATGCTAACTCTAATTTTCATTTTTTTTCCCCTTTTCTACTGTACTTTGACTTGTTTTTGTGCTGTTAAGAAAAATGTCTTCGTAAAAGAGAACATGCCCAAGAAGGATTTTATTTTTTGCTTGCTATAAATTATAATGCCGTGGTTTTGGTTCTTAATAGAAAAACTTGTTTTTGTATGGAAACTTCATGCTTGACATTAATTTTATCCTTCTATACCCGTTACATCAAGTACAGAGCAAACATGCATTCACACTCACATCATCAGCTTTGTTAGTACACTCAAAATAGTTAGCTGATGCTTATGAATTTGTAATAGAAAATGGGCCCTTCATTCAATTTTGCTATCTCATTGTGGTTTCCCCCATTGGTAAAATGTTGACTGTGTTCTGCTATTTTGCTGCTGTGCCTACCATTTGTATGATATCATTTTTCAGATATCTGATTCATCTGGATGTTGAACTGATGTGATTAAGTTTGTAGTAATGTTAAGTTCACAACTCAATTTTACAATCTTCTCTCACAACTTTCGATGTAGTAGCTCATAATCGGTCAGAAAAATGGAATTTATTTGTGAGCTGACCAATTACGAGCTGTCATATCGGATTATGAGATTAGACTATAGACTTAGCATTTTTCTTAAATTTGTGATCGAGCGAAGATTATGGCTGCCGTGTGTTATCTCGGACTGTTTCAGAGAATTAAATAGGACTTCAAGTGAAGATTATTGCTGCCGTGTGTTATCTCGGACTGTTTCAGAGAATTAAATAGGATTCGAGTCTCTTGGGCCATCCTTGGTATTAGGGCTGTGCCCAATTTCATTTAAATGTAGGCCCTGACATATATTACAATTTACAGGTGGTAACAGAATTGTCCTGTGTTCTAGCGCTTCCTCCTATACGACAAGTTAAATTGAATGAGAAACTTGCAGATATCAGAAAGTTACTAGTACTTTTATATAGTGAGCTACGTCTTATATCTTGCACTTCACGATCAAGATTCAATATTTCATTTTCTAGATTTTCTCTCATGAAGAAGAAAGTGAAAATGAAGATACAAGAAAGGTTAACTGTATTCTTGTTTGTAAAGAAAATTATAAAATATAAACGTCTGTAACGTGTTAATTGTGCTAAAAATCCTACCCTGATTCTCAATTTGTCAACTAATGCTAATAGACCGAAATCAATGGAGAAGAAAACGTTTGTAATGGTAATAGTGAACCGTGTTTGTTTAACCTAATCTGTCCAAATTAATTAGACCATCCAACTTATCAAGTCCATGCAATATAAATATAATAGCTCCATTTGATTAATGAATTATTAACACCTTATTCAAGATTGTGTTCAACTTGAGAGTTTTTTATGAAATGAAACTCTCAAGTTCAAAAGGTTGAAAGAGTAAAAGGAGGGGCGAGCAAACATTTAGCTGTTATCAGTTACAGGTTTGGTGGCTTGCCCCAATGTTTTTAAGTAATTAACAATGGCCTGTAACACGTCTTTAAGACTATCTCTTTCTCTATCATTTCGTTTTTTTTGGGTTTAGGAGATTTCACCAACCAGGCCAACATTAGTTGCATCTTCTATTGACTTTAATATATCTTTATACAAATTACTCAAGCAGCGGCCATGCAAATTTCTTCGTTCTTTTCACTTATATATCTCCCAGTCCCACCTATCTCTACCACCCTCTTGTGTCGATATTCAAAACTAAACAAAAAAAAAAAGCAAAGTGCGTGCAGCAATAATGGCACCTTTTTTTCATCGTCCAAACCTCTCGATTTTGCATTTGTTGATCTTAGTTTTCTCAGTTTTTGGCTTCAGGTTGCATGCAAGTGATCCTTATTTGACACTGGATTACTATGCGTCTAAATGCCCAACCGTGTTCGAGATTGTCAAGAAAGAAATGGAATGTGCTGTTCTTTCTGATCCACGTAACGCTGCCCTCATAGTTCGATTACATTTCCATGACTGCTTTGTACAGGTTCCTGTTTCATCATCATCATCTGGCTGAAGATTTCTTTTTCTTTAAACAAAATTAAGCCGATTATTAATGGTTAGCGTTTTGATGTAATGGTACAGGGATGCGACGGGTCAGTTTTGCTTGACGACACAATCGACCTGAAAGGAGAGAAAACAGCTTCTATCAATAAAAATGCCCTTAAAGGTTTTAGACTGATTGATAGGATCAAGAACAAGCTTGAATCTGAATGCCCTGGAATTGTGTCGTGTGCAGATATTCTTACTATTGCAGCAAGAGATGCTGTCATCCTGGTATATATATTAAAATAAATAAATGAATTCTTTGTCGTAATCACATATGAATTGACAAAATTTCGTTCAATATTTGATGCAATCTTCTGCAGGTTGGTGGACCTTATTGGGATGTTCCAGTGGGAAGAAAGGATTCGAGAACTGCAGGTTACGAACTCGTAAGCTCGAATATGCCCGCTGCGGATGAGGGTCTTCTCTCTATCATCTCCAAGTTTCTTTATCAAGGCCTCACAGTCACGGATATGGTGGCTCTTTCAGGTAAGCCACTGATACTTGGACAGAGACACTTCTCAAATTTGACTGGAGTCTGGAGTCTGTCATTTTGCGGATATCTGTAGGTCATCGTTAAGCCAAGCTATTAAAATTTTGCTATAAATATATTTATTTTAAAAATAATCAATTATATTCTAATTATTTCTTGATTGAAAAAAAAAATATTCATTTAAAAACGAAAAGGAAACTGCAAAAAGAATTAACCCAAATATACAGAAGCTGACCACTCGAGAATTTGTGTTGTCAAATAAACAATACTAAGCTTTTGCGATGAAGTAATTTATTCACATCCTCATTGTTAATAATGTGCAGGAGCTCACACAATTGGAATGGCACGGTGTGAGAATTTCAGAAAAAGGATCTACGGAGACTTTGAATTAACTTCAGAGAAAACTGTATTGTCTGAAACGTATCTCAGTAAATTGAAATCAACATGCCCTGCCGTTGGATCAGACAATAACGAATCAGCAATGGATTATATTACACCAAATCTCTTCGACAATTCTTTCTACCAAACACTTCTCAAAGGAGAGGGACTTCTCAACTCAGACCAGGAAATGTACTCAAGCGCACTTGGAATCCAAACAAAGGAGCTTGTGAAGAAGTATGCACATGAACCTCTTGCTTTCTTCCAGCAATTTTCTGATTCTATGGTCAAAATGGGAAATATTACCAATGCGGATAGCTTTGAGAATGGAGAAGTGAGGAAGAATTGCAGATTTGTGAACACATGAGCTATGTACGTGCGTGTAAAGTTCAGGAATGATATTTTAATTTTTATGTTGATGAAGAAGTGAAAACAACTCACACAGATTGTATGTAATACAGTTATTAAGAACTGGAGTTTGTTTTGTGATTCATTTTGATAATCTTATGAAGGTGAATTATTATTAATTATCTTGTATTTCGTTCTTCTTTGAAGAGAAACTTGCATGAATCTGTAAGGATGCGCTTTGGATTTCGGATTGTCAAGTGTAAACTTTCATGTTGAATGTAATTTGTAGTCTTAAAAGTACATTCATTTATGCATAACATCATGGATATAATCTATGTTAATCCAATCTTATACTTTCTTGTAAAGGAGAGGAAGATACCTCTACATGGTCGAGTGGTTTGATAAGGACTCTTGGGTATATTACTTGAGAAATCCTGAATTCAAGTCCCTTTTCGTGTGCTAATAGGGATAATCACTATAACTCTTACCTAACTGATAGTTTTAGGTCCTGAGAGATTGTTGAGAAAACTAATTCTGAAATGAAAATACTTCTTACTCAAGAATCAAAGATTACAAAATTGATTAATGAAAGTTACAATAGTTGGTTTCTTATATACAGCATGTTTGTTAGTAACCAACTCTAACTTAGATGAGCTAGATGAACTAACTTCTAACTGTTATTAACAAACTAAACAGACTAACTAATTACAGTAACAAACTTCTAACTAATTTAATTACAGACTAACTAATTTATAGTGACTAACATCATTTAATCTTCATTTGTTGATGCTTCAACTTCATTCGTTGATGCTTTAGCTTCAGTATGCTTCAATATCCCTCGCAAGCTGGAGAATGGATACTTAACATTCCCAGCTTGGACAAATTAGCTCGAAATGGTGCAAGAGAAAGAGCCTTAGTGAGTAAATCAGCTAACTGATAAGAGGAAGAACAGGGCATAAGATGAATGAGACCCGATTGAACCTTTTGTCTTATAACATGGCAATCTATTTCTATGTGCTTGGTACGCTCATGAAATGTGGGATTGGCAGCAATCTGAAGTGCAGATTTGTTGTCATAGAAAAGTAGGGCAGGATGTGAATGAAGAACATGAAAATCCTGAAGTAAGTAATGCAACCACTGAAGTTCACATGTCGTAGAAGCAAGAGCACGATACTCAGCTTCGGAAGATGATCTGGAAACTGTTGTTTGTTTGTTAGCACGCCAGCTTATTAGAGATGAGCTAAGAAATACACAAAAACTTGTAATAGATTTGCGAGTAGCAGAGCATCCAGCCCAATCACTATCACTAAAGGCTTTCAATGTAAGATCAGAGGATGCAGGAAAGAATAAGCCATAAGCTGGACAATTTTTAACATAACGAAGAACACAATTGGCAGCTTGAAGATGAGCTGAAGTAGGCTTGTCAAGAAACTGACTTAATTGTTGAACAACCTTTTAACATAACGAAGAACACGATTGGCAACTTGAAGATGAGCTGAAGTAGGCTTGTCAAGAAACTGACTTAATTGCTGAACAACAAAAGATAAGTCAGGTCTGGTAGAGGTCAAGTAGAGGAGACGCCCAACCAACCTTCTGTAATAAGTAGGATCCGAAAGAAAATCACCATCAGTGTTGGATAATTTCAGGAAAGACTCCATTGGTGTGGTTGCAGGTTTACAAGCTAGATAGCCAACATCTAATAAATTTCAAGGGCATACTTGTGTTGACATAAGGTAATGCCATGCTTGGAACGTGCTCCTTCCAATCCAAGAAAAAATTTGAGATCACCAAGGTCCTTTATTTTGAAGGCAACATCAACGTAAGCCTTCACATGATCAATTTCCTGAAGATTATTCCCTGCCAAGATAACATCATCGACATATATCAAGAGAGCAGTAAGGGAATCATTATGGTGTTTAACAAAAAGGGAATGATCAGAGGATGATTGAATCTAGCCGAAAGATAATAAAGCTAAAGTAAGCTTTGAGAACCACTGGCGACTGGCCTGTTTGAGTCCATAAAGGGACTTTTGAAAATGGCAAACCTGATTGGGATGAGAAGAACTGAAACCTGGAGGCAGGATCAGGTAAACTTCTTTAGATAAATCACCGTGCAGGAAAGCGTTATTTACGTCAAGCTGTTTCAGATGCCAATTTGAGGAAGCAGCCAATGCAAGAAGTAGTCTGACAGTGGTAAGCTTAGCCACAGGGGAGAATGTGTCAAAGTAGTTTATACCTTCAGTTTGGGTATAGCCTTTGGCAACTAAATGAGCTTTGTAATGCTCAATTGTGCCATTGGCCTTTCGTTTAATCCGATAAACCCATTTACATCCAATGGGAGTTTTTCTAAGAGGGAGATCAGTGAGGGTCCAAGTAGCATTCTGTTCTAAAGCATAAATTTCAGTTTGCATGGCTTCTTTCCAACAATCATGTTTGATGGCTTGATTATAAGTTTTTGGTTCAATAGTTGTGGAAATGGCAAGGATGTAATGTAAGTGTTTAGGTGACAAAGCAGAATATGATAGTACAGAAGACAAAGGATAAAGAGTACCTGACTGGGAATTGGTAGATTCAGCTGCTGTGGCCATGTTGCAATGATAATCATACAGGTAAGAAGGAGGCTTACGATGCCTTTGAGATGATCTGGTGACAGGGTGATTAGAAGAAGGAAGAAAATTGTTTGGTAAAGTGGTGGTTTGATCAGAAGTGATGTCAGAAGTTGTCAAATGGCCAGATTGTTTTGAAGATAAAATATGATCAAAATGTGGTAAAGTGGTGTCCCGAGGTAACGGAATAGAAGATTGATTACTATCAACAAATGGAAAAGTGGACTCATAGAATAAGACATTATGAGAGGCAAATATATCTCTAGAATTGAAGTCCAGGAGGATAAAACCTTTGGTGCCAGATGGAAAACCAAGGAAAAGGCACTTCGTAGCTCTGAAATCGAATTTGGTTCTATGAGCTAATAAAGTGGAAGCAAAGCAAAGGCAACTGAAAGTCTTCAAGGAGGTATAATCTGGGGTAGTATTATAGAGCAATTCAAATAGGGACCTGTTTTGCAACAATGGAGTAGGAAGCCTATTTATCAAATGAATGGCACAACGTACAGCATAATTCCAGTATAGTTTGGGTAAATTAGACTGAAATAACAGAGAACGTGCAACATTTAACAAGTGTTGGTGCTTTCTTTCCACCATACCATTTTGTTGTGGTGTCTCAACACAAGAAGTTTGATGATGAACTCCTTTAGAAGCATAGAAAATAGGCATGGCAAACTCAGAACCATTGTCTGAACGAATGGCTTTAATTTTGCTAAAAACTGAGTTTCAACAAAGAAGAAAAAAGATTGAATCAGATTTCTTACTTCTGATTTTTGTTTAAGTAAGAATATCCATGTGTATCTAGAGTAATCATCAACAATTGTTAAGAAAAATCTATGACCATGAATGGAACATGTAGAGAAAGGACCCCAAATGTTTGCATGAATCAGATCAAAACATTTAATGGTTTTAGTATTACTAACAGGAAAAGGTAACGTTTTCTGTTTTGCCAAATGACAAACAGTACAAGCTTCATTATTATGAAATTGAAGATTAGGAATATTAGGAGACATAAGTTTCATTCTAGAGTCTAAAATATGACCAAGGCGATGATGGCAAAGATAAAAAAATGTAGTGGTTGAAGCTAATGAAGCTGGAGAAGGTAATGTGATCTTAGCAAGTGGCATAACACTGGAACTGCAAGACTTAGACATTGCATACAGGCCATCAAGCACCTTAGCTGAACAAATCATCTTCCACATAGTCAGATCCTGAATTAAGCAACATGAGCTTTGAAAAATTAAGCAACATTTCAATGATGATGTGAGTTTGGTGACAGAGATAAGATTGAAAGAAAACTCAGGTAAATATAAAACATCTGTGAGAATGAGTTGTTTATTAAGACAAACTGTTCTAGCATATTATGCAGTGATTTTCGAGCCATTTGGTAAGGTGACCACGATTGGTTTAATTTGTTTATAAGTATCAAAACAAGATAAGGAATGTGTAATGTGATCAGTGGCTCTTGTATCCACTATCCATAATGGAGATTTAGAGGTACATGATAAAGCTAAATGAGTACCTAATGTGGAAGAAAAATGAGGAGTTAATGCTGGCTGATGGAGTTGTGACACAACTTGGTTGGTAATATGTAAAGGTTGAGCAAAATTTGCTGATTGTAGTAGAGCCAATATCTGCTGGTATTGTTCTAGAGTAAGAGAAGCATTAGAACCAGACTTTTCTTGGTTTGTAGTTGGCACATCAGAATTCAATTGTAGACCTTCAGCACTGATATTTTCTTCTATAACAACAACATTATGGGCAGTAGAATTCCTAGGCTTGTATCCTGAAGGGTAACCATGCTTTTTATAACATGTTTCTATTGTGTGTCTTGGCTTACCACAGTATGTGCAAAAACGATTATCTCCACCACCAGAAGATTGAGTATTGAACTTTCTGCTTTGTTGTGACTTTAAAGACTGAAAATTTTGCTGTTGAAATTGTTGCTGAGATTTTGAAGGGAAATGAAAATTTTCTCAATCGGATTTATTTACAAACACCTTGGCAACTCCCAAACTCAATTGTCTTTCCTATTGAACAACTAAAGAAAATACCTTGTTTATAGAGGGCAGGGGATCCATGAGCATGATTTGTGATCTTACAATAGAAAATGAATCATTCAAACCCTTAAGAAACCTTATCACATAATCAGTATTTCGATAGGTTTTAAAGGTATTCAAGATTCCGCAAGAACAAGGAGTAGAACATGTACATAACGGAAGAGGCCTAAAGATCATTAATTCATCCCAAAGAACCTTTAACTCAGTAAAATAATCAGTTACATTTTTATCTCCTTGTTTAAAACTGTAGATTTCTTCTTGCAAATATGATATTCTAAAGATATCCCCTTGTGAAAATCTTTCACGAAGGTCAGTCCATACATCATACGCTTTATCAATCCATAATATGCTATTAGTAATTGATGGAGAAAGTGAATGAGTGAGCCAGGATAATACCATTGTATTGCATCTCTCCCAGACTGAAAACAGAGAATTGGTACTGGAAGGTGCTTTGATTGTGCCATCCACAAACTTCAGCTTGTTCTTTGACAATAAAGTCATTTTCATAGCTCGCAAC